CTTCCTTTTGCTCATGGAAGTCTCTGACCTTTGTTGAATTTTCTTGTAGGGAGAAGAATAATTACACTGGGAAGTATACCACCCAAGGCAATGTCTGTAGCTCTGTACTAATAGATGAGATGGACGTTTACTATTCTTTTTATGATTCACAAAAGTTCCTTCTTTTGCGACTCCATAGCTGATGGACTTACAAGAGCAAAGTGTAAAGCCACGTCGAGTCTTTCATAGAACCATAGAATGATTTGTGTCACAACGGAACTTTAAAGGTCATCTAGACAAGTCCCTCTACCACGGGCAGCAACATCTTTCATTAGACAGCGTTGCTCAAAAGTCCCTCCAACCTGTTCTCGAAACCTTCTGGGCAGCCTCTACTGGTGTCAAACCACCCTTATCGTAAGAGTTTTCTTCCTTATGTCCAATTGAAATCTACCCTCTCTCAGTTTTAAACTGTTGTCCCTTCTCCTGCCACAACAGGTGCTGGAAGAGTTTCTCCATCTTTACATAATAAAAAGGTGAAATAAAGGTTGTCCTTTATTTGGCTGTGTCACCTCCCAACTCTGCACACCCAGACTACTCGCTGGTGAGGCGGTATAAGGAGTAGAAAAGGCCTTGACTGCTTCACACAACCAAGAACATCAGTGTATTACCAACACTATTTCCAACTCAAACCCACAAACATAGACCTTTACCCGCTGCTATAAAGAAAGTAAAATCCATCCTAGATGAAGGCATAACACTCACTAATGAATATATTGTTGAGATGCATAAAATAATAGTGTTCCCAGTATGGACCCTTGAGCAATACCATATGTTACTGGTTCCCACTGGGACATTGAGCCACTGACCTTAACTCTTTTGATGTGGCCCCACGTTCTCCCATTACATGGCTTAATTGGAGAAATATGTGCAGAAGAAAAAGCCTTGACTGCTTCACATAATCAAGCCATCAGAGTTTTACCAATACTATTATGATCCCAAATCCAAAACACAGACCTACACCACCTGCTAGCAAGAACATCAAGTCCGTCCCAGATGAAACCATGGTGATGAAGATATTCTTGAGATACATTCAAAATTATTGGTCTCAGCACAGACTCTTGAGCAATACTGCATGTTACTTGTTCCCACCTGGATATTGAACCATTGACTAGAACTCTTCAGAGGTGGCCATCCAGCCAGTTCCTTATCCATCTAACACCCCACCTGTCAAACCCGTATCTCACCAACTGAACCATGTAATGGGAGACCATGTGGGGGACACCCTGCACACGTTCTCCCACTGACCCCATGTCTCTTCATGGAAACCTTGGCTGGGTTGGGTTGCCACTCTGCACTTTGAGCACTATGGCAGAAACAGGATTGCTTTCTTTCCCTACAGAAAATGTTCGCTCTGGAAGTACATGTATGCCTGGGAAAGCCTTCCTCCTTACAGCTGTGAACCTCCAAGGTGTGGACAGGAACTGCCCCTGAACTCAGACAATTAGAACAGAGCTGTCCCCAGGCAAGAGTGAGAAACATACACATATGAATATGGATCAGGGCAATAACATTCATTAGGCCAAATGTATTAAGCAGAAGGAACTGAAATTGCATGGTACCAGAATGTGTGCCCAACAGAGTAACTATGTCAAGCAGGGAAATGACCAGCAGTTCCTTTATGGCCCCTCCCAACAGAGCTTCCCCAGGTCTAATCTCCAAACTTACACAACCTGCAGCTTTGCTTAATACCCACAGAATTGGCAAAAATTTATCATAAGAGTATAATGCACTACGATCACACCAAAAAAAGAAGGAACTTTTTTTCCTCATCACTATTCTGTGAAGTAATAAAAGGATGGTAAAGCGCATGAATGTTAAATGTCTGAACTAAAAGAGAAATAATCATCTAACAGAGGATGGGTAATATCAAAATATCAGGCTTGGGGAATCTCCTGTACTCTTTTGTCACACACACTGTTCCACAGAGTTGGGACTTCTACTGGCTTCATGCTTTAAACTCCTCTCCCTACCACACCAGGATACAAGTATAACCTCACATCTCCCGACTTCCAAAAAAACGGAAGGATGAGTAAGAAACACTAACCCACAAGTGGCTAAATTAAGATATTCCACTTCTTCAAACTAAGCCTACATACACAGGAAACCAGGAAGAGAAAAAACTCAGACTAGGAAGCCAAGGAACCATTAAAGACAGAGGCTTGCCAGAGAAATTCAACACAAAGTCTTCTCAGTCTTCACTGTTGGTCTTGAAATTCATTCCCCTGAGCACCTGAAAATCATTGAGGTTTCAAGCACAAGTGCAACCCTGAAGTCTTCCTTGGGACTACATTGTAGGGGAGTTCATTTTCAAAAACAGTCATCAAGCTCTCAACAATTTTTTTGACTCTGTGGCCTGCTCATCTGCATACAAATATGAAGCCGTAAGTGTAAACACTTATCACAGGCCTCTTTCTCAAGTTTGGTCATCCTGGGCTTCTTCAGGTGGCTCAGGGCTTGCCAAGGGAAGCAAGTGTTTGCTGCAAAAAAAACACCTTGCCAAGGGAAGTGTGTGTTTGCTGCAAAAAGCACCTACAGTTTCAAATACAACAGAATTATACAGACTTGGGAAAAAGAACTATGACCTTGCAGCCACCATTTTTCTACATGCACAGTTATTTTGAAATACTTTACAACCAGAGGACAATCATTATCTTTTGAGACAGGAAACCCGGGAAAAGAAAAATGGCAAAGGTCTTTGCAAACAGATGCTGCTGAAGGGAGAGCTGCACGCACAGTTTCTCATTATTGAGAAGAGGGATCACAACTTGGATACATGCAAAGACATTTCTCTGCTCATCACACAAACTGGAAGCACATCTAAAATCTTCTCAAGTGCATAAATGATATACAGCTCCAAAACAGACCCAGTTGTCAAAGAATCACCTCAGGGATACTATCATACCATCATCTTACTTCAGCACATTGGGCAACTTGGAAGATACATGCTGCTCAAGCCTTAACCGAAAGGTTATGCATATGCTTAGTAACTGCCATTGTTGGGAAATATCATGCAACAGGAAACAGATTGATGAACCCCCAACTTGGCCAGTTGGAACCTGAGGAGTGTGATATCCAAAATTAAGGCACCTTCAGTCTCATTTTATGTAGCCCAGGAATGAACCCTAGGAATTAATAACACACATGCCTTTTCTCTACTGCTACCTCCTCACACACACCACCCCCAAGACTCTCTTCAAACCCTTCACAGACCACACCATTGACAATGATCACCATAATTTGCAGACAGACTCCACCTACAGAAAAGCTGCACAGACAACTTCTCCTTTCCATGGTTAATACTTGACTTCTCTCCATGTGGATGTGAAAAGCAAGAACATTTGTTCAGCTTTTATATGAAGGAAATGTGTTTATGAGAGCCTCTCTTTCCAGCTGTAAACATGAGAGATCAATATGGGACAGCCAGGCAAATGTGACAGATGTGATCCTCCACACATTGTCAGATACAAAGGCTCACTTTCAGACCAACACAATGACCAAGGCAAGAAGTGAATGCATGCAGAAAGGAAGGGCTTAGAGATTACTCTTCTAGATTATGGCACTCAGAGTAGGCCCATAATCCAGGTATTTAGTAGGTAGCAAAGACACAGGTTGCTCTGCCCAAAGCCCTCATTCTGGTGCTTGTCATAAATACACAATTCACTGTGAGTTAAGAATTGACAACAGCCTGAATAAGCAGAGGAAGAACCTCCCAGGGCTCCCAGAACAGCTGGAATCACATGTCTTCTAGCCAAACTTCTTCAGAAAGGTGAAACTCACATTGCATGATACTACAACTAGACGCTGAATGGGGAAGGAGCGAAAGTATTTCTTGTTACCCTCACACAGAGTTATCAGGACTCTTATCTTCAAGCCTTCACAACTTGCACGGTGTTCTTTGACCCTTAGAATTTACAAGCACATGGCATGAAGGGCCTAGTTGTCTACACCATTTCTCTTCAACATGTACCACTATCGCACCACAAACTTCACATGGATAACTTCACATCTCCATCCTAAGGAGGAAGACATATTGTCTGCTCACTTCACTTCAGAGAAGAAACATCAGTAGACTAACGGTAAAAGGGAAGTGGTCCTCCAGTTCAACCTAGGTCAGAGAACATCTGCAGGGGGGCAATATCACCCTCCTAAGCTCTCCCTCCTACCCTTGTACAGCTCTTGCCACAGCATGTGTTGTCAAGCCAAGACAGGATCAGCTCCATTTCAAATAAGTCAACCTTAAAAGAGAAGGAATCAGCAATACACATCTGCCAGTAGTAGCTCTTCAAACACAGCCACCCAGACAGTTTCTCAAATTGTCACAACTTTGACAATTCTCTTTCACCTCCACAACTGGTAGACAGCCAAGAACAAGTTGTTGCCCAGTACCTTCCTCGATTGGTGTAGAAAGATCAAAGCTTGGACAAATACAAAGACATTCCATAATCAATCACATTACAAAGGCAGCTTCCCCTTCCCTGCCTGCCACTCTCCTCTGCCTCTTCTCAAGCCAAGAAACATCCAGATCCATTTCAAATCAGTCAAATTTTAGATACGGAGAATTAGAAGAACACATCTATTTCTTGCAATAGATTTTCAAATGCAGGAACCAAGAGACAAAGAGGCACAACTTTCCATGACTCTCCTCCATCTGGCAAGGAGCTTATAAACTGTACCCGGGGCCATTAACAGTCCATTTTAAGACACGCTCATCCTACTCCAGCACATGTCTGTCAGGAATATACCTTAACCTGCTAATGTGGAAAACTTCAATTCGCTTCATACATCCATTCAGAAGAGCTAGCACTGACACCAAAAAGGGTATTACCCATCAGGGGACAAAATAAGAAATGACGTGATGCGTGATAAGAACAAAAATCTTCGCTCTACCGAACCTCAAGCCAACAGCAGCCCCACTTATCCTGACTCCCACAAAAAATGCAAGGCTGACAAAGAGCCTACGATCACGTCCCCGGAACAAGACGCACCAGCACAGCGCGCTCATGAACCAAGATTTGCCTTTTTTTTGTAACTAAGCCTCCCGAGGAGGGACAGCGAACACACGACGGCAAGGGCAGAGAATCGCGCGAGGGAAGCGTGGCGGAGCAATTCCGATGGTGGGAGGAACTCACCGGGGGAGCGGCGGGGTCGTCGCGGCGGGCGCCGTCAGCGTCCTCGGGGAGCAGCGGCGGCGCGGGCTCGTCGGGCGGCGGGCGGGCCGGCAGGGTGTCGCAGCAGCTGCCGCCCGAGAAGCGCAGCTGGCTCTTGCGCGAGTCGGCGGTGAGCGAGACCTCGTGCGAGTAGGAGCGCAGGAAGGCGCGGACGCCGTCGATGCCCACGAAGTGCGAGGCCGGGACGCCGCGCAAGGCGCCGCTGCCCGCCGCCGGCAGCTGCGAGCGGCGCCAGCGGCGCAGGCGCAGCGCCAGCAGCAGCAGCAGGAAGGCGAGGAAGAGGCAGGAGACGGCCGCCACGGCCAGCACCAGCCAGCGCGTCAGGCTGCCGCCCGGCTCGCCCGGCGCCGCCGCCGCCGCGCTGCCCAGCTCCGACAGCAGCTCGGCCACGCTCTCGCCCAGCACCACCCTCAGCGTGGCCGTGGCCGACAGCGCCGGCCGCCCGTGGTCCTTCACCACCACCACCAGGCTCTGCCGCGCCGCGTCGCGGGCCAGCGGCAACCGCGCCGTCCGCACCTCGCCGCTGTGCAGCCCCACGCGGAACAGACCCGGCTCCGTCGCCTTGGCCAGCTCGTACGACAGCCACGCGTTCTGACCCGCGTCCGCGTCCACCGCCACCACCTTGGCCACCAGCGACCCGGGCTCCGCCGACCGCGGCCACAGCTCCACGCCCGACCACCACCCCGACACCGAGCCCCAGCCCGAGCCCGAGCCCGAGCCCGCTGGCGCCGGCGGCGGGTACAGCACCTGCGGCGCGTTGTCGTTCTCGTCCACGATCTCCAGCCGCACCGACACGTTGCTGCTCAGCGCCGGCGCGCCGCCGTCCTCCGCCCCCACCCACAGCCCCACCTCGCGCACCTCCTCGTAGTCGAAGGAGCGCAGCGCGTACAGCGCGCCCGTCTCCGCCTGCACCGACACGTACGACGACAGCGGCGCGCCCCGCACCCGCCCCTCCCACAGCCGGTACCGCACGCGCGCGTTCGCGCCCCAGTCCGCGTCCCGCGCCCGCACCCTCAGCAGCAGCGCGCCCGCCGCGTTGTTCTCGGGCACCCGCGCGCTGTACCGCGCCTCCGCGAACACCGGCGCGTTGTCGTTCACGTCCAGCACCCGCAGCGCCAGCACCGCGCTGCTCCGCAGCGGCGGCGACCCGCCGTCCGCCGCCCGCACCGTCACGTTGTACTCCGACACCTCCTCGCGGTCCAGCTCCCGCGCCGTCACTACGCGGTAGTAGTCCTCAAAGCTCGCATTAACCCAAGAAGTAGAAACCTTGATTTTTTCAGAAATCACGCTATAACAGATTGGTGCTTATTATACACGAATTCATCTCAGTCTTGAATCTTCATGTTGGTGGGACACCTTACCAATCAAATACTGTAGGGCGGCAAGAGACCCCACACTAAGCAGCAGACCATTCGTAAATGTGCAAATAAACTTTATTCAGGTGCCTAATTGCTGTTTCTTTGAGTATTTCACTGACGGTTTAGCTATGATCTTAGTATGGGTAGAGCCCGCCCCTTGTCAACAGGCAGACACACGCAAACTGTTTCATAAAGTGTCCGAGAGACCCAGTTCTTCAGTCTAGTATTCCCCTGTCCAAGCGATCAACCAGGTCCGAGGACCTGTTTTGGGAAAAGGGGAGAGGAAAAGAAGACAGGTTCTGAAATACTAAACGCATGTTCTTGAGATCCCATTCTACACCCTCACCTGTGTATGACAGACAGATCAGGAATGGAAAAAACCAACCAAACAAACAAATATACAGAACCCCAAAAAACCAAACCCCCAAGACAGAAAAACAAAGAAGATATAAATAGCTGCACAAGCAACTCGTAAAAATCATGGCCCCAAAAGCCTAGAGGGCTAGACACGCAGCTTTTTTTCAACGCATTAATCAACGCGTATCAACCAAGCCCAAGTTAATCGGTTTCAGGAAAAGCGATCAGGAGGGAAAAGTATCCGATACCAGGAGACCACCACATTTTTCCCGACTCTGTCGTTCAGAATCATTTATTTACCGACTTGGCGAGAGCTGTAGTCAAAACCACGCACCTGAACCTGTGACCACAGAAGAACCAAGAAGTGCCTCCGACTGATTCCTGATGAGTGAGGACACCCCGTTCCTTCCTTCACGGAGACATGGATCAGCGCTCCCCAGACGCACAAAGTTAACCCGTCCCACTGCTGCTACCATTTCTGCCATTGCTTTAACAGCATTCCCCCAAATGATGGGCGGCACACCCTTCTTTCACTATGGACGAGGAATCTTTCTCTTATCCATTCATGGAGATACAC